TTTTTTTCAAAAAAGCCCAAGATTTCCCCCCCCCCCCCCATATTGGTGGTCAGTGGCAGTGCTGTTACCCCCTGGCACTGGTGATCAGTTGCTATTTAACCCCTCCTGCATTGGTGGCCAGTGGCAATGAAATTTAAACTCCCAGCAGGAAGGTTACTTACCTGATCACATTCTCCCATGTTACTCTTTCTCTCTCTCTCTTTCCTAAATGAGGCCAAGACTTTATATGTACTGTCAGGCAAAGGTCTCTCAGTCTGACAGTACAGTCTTTATTTCAGTGCCAGGTACGGGAAAACAGAGCATTTCAGCACCTGGCACCCAGCGGCTGCTTTGCTGTCCTCTGGTGCCCAGCATGTGGGCTTGGAGAGCTGGTGGGGATGCCTGTTGTACACCAGGGAGCCAAACTATCCCTCTGTTCTTTAAGAAACAAGATCAGGGTTTTTTCAGTGTTTTATATCATTTTTACAAAAATAGTATGGGATGATGAATATTCATTTAAAAAAGTCTTCATACCTTAATAATTACTAGGTATTTTATCACATCCATAATTTGGTTTCTCTTTTGTTGTTGTATGATGTACCATATATGTACTTCATAATAGATCACATATCGATTGTTGAAAGTAAGGACTTATGAAAATAATGTATGTTATTTAATTCCTCCTAGGACACAGTGCTTGGAGTGAATGTTTTGTTCCAATACCCGTTCTCTTCAGCCATGCAACGTATGTCTGTCATAACTGAGGTCATAGGAGGTGATGGTGAATTAACTGTTTACATGAAGGGAGCTCCAGAGATGGTGGCCAGTTTTTGCAGGCCAGAAACAGGTAGCTTTTATGGGGTCACTTTAAATGTTATCATGAACATTTTTCCCTACCCCAGACACTCACCTTTGGAGGGTTGTAGTTTATCCTGCCAGGACAATGCTGAGGGAATCTTGTAGTTATTATGAGCTCCATGTGAGTGACTTTACTAGACTACCTAATTTAATTAGGACAACATCATGTCATGCTCTGTGTACAAATGTATGTAACGAGAGAATGGAAAACTAAGTATTAACATTTTTCATACACTGAAAGTGACACTAAAGTCGGGTATTAAATCTTTAAAATGCATTGAAGTACCTTAACTATTAATAAAACCTCTTTGTGCATCACTCATCTCTGAATTCATGCTGACACTGTCCTTCCTGTCAGAGGGTGGCTACTTTTGTTCCCCATGGTCCCTGTGTGTGTTGTATAGTAGTCACCGCTCCAAGATTGCTCCCGTGCTGGACTACAATCAATGATTACAGTATATTATAAAATTAAATTTTGAAATGGTTTAATGAACTTTAGACTTTTTGCTTTTGCTACAATTGGCGTCACAATTATGATTTTCTTGACAGTTCCAGAAGATTTTTCACATGAACTGGAGATATACACATTTCAAGGGTTAAGAGTCATTGGAGTAGCACACAAAATTCTTAGAAATGCAAATAAAGATGATTTAGAAAGTACTGAAAGGTAAGTTAATCCCCAAATCCAGCTTACAATTTTGGTAAAGAAGAACTCTGTGCAGACAAAAATGTATTTTTGCTAAGAGAATTTAAGAATATTCCAGGCATTCAAATTATATTCTCATGTAGCAGTGAGAAATGGGATTTTCTTTTGAAAATGTTAATATAAATGAGTATACTTATGGGTAATTGTTAGCAGTTATGTTGTAGTGTTCCTTTGTTTAAAGTCACACTGGAAATTATACAGTATTAATTAATTTCTACAAAAAAACTAATCTCCAAATCTCTTATAAAATCTATTCATTTATTAGGGAAGATGTGGAATGTGACATGGAGTTTCTTGGGTTGCTGATATTAGAAAATCGTCTGAAACCAGAGACCCAACCAATCCTCGAGGAGCTCAATACAGCCAATATCAGAACTGTAATGATTACAGGTGGGAACTTCCATTAGATAAGCGCACATTATATTGCAAAATAAGTATTGGCAACGTAAATGAAGGCGGGATCATGCTGGTGTAGCTTTTACACCTTTATTGTACTTTGATATAGTTCAGTTGTGTTTTAGGGTACATTCACACCGGAATCTGAAACCGAAAACGCGAGTCAATGGAAGTATGTTAACGTGACATTTGTATAGTCCGTTGACATTCATTCCATTGCGCTTTTGGGGGATTTTGTTTGCTTTTTTGGGTTTGATTTTTACATTAAGCTATATAATGTATAGGTTCTGCCTTGCGTTGACACGCATTAGCACTTCACACCAGTCCATTGCATTGAAAAACAGTGGAGCCGGCTTTACTTTTTTTTCAGTGGAGGGCAAAGTAATGCAGCTCACTGGTGTGAACTGCTCCCATTGTCGACCATTCATTTTCAGATGTTGTTGCGTTAGCATCTGCTTGAAAACAGATGCCAACAGATCTGGTGTAAATGGGGCCTAAATATGAACTCTAGGCAAATATGAAAGACAAATTAATGCAGTTCTGTATTTATGAAATCATCAATAAATGCATTTTTTTAATTGCGAACATTGTAAGTGCCTGAATGTGACCTGCTATCAGTCCCTTGCAGTTCTTGTACTGCAGAGCTCAGAGTGGGAGAGGAAGAAACAGCACAAGGAGCCAATTAATTCCTGTGCTGATAAGGAGCAAAGTGCTAACAGGGGAAAAAACCAGAGTGACAGACAGATTAGCTGTGCAGCTTCTTTATTACTTTCCAGCCACAGGCTGGGGGTGGGAACGTGACAGCCTGGACTCAGAGGAAGTGAATTAAATGGTACTGGTCATCATTCAGCCTGAAAAACAGGACATATTGTGGTGTGAAAGAAGTACCATAGGGTACAGCTTCAGATTGAATGTGAGTATTGCAACAAAAGCTGTTTTTTTATTTTATCTTTTAATGAACTATTCATTTTTTTGGATGGCTAGAGTTCTACTTTAACTTGAGGCCCAGAGACTGAATGTGATTACATTTCTTTTGTTATGAATATAACTAATTGTTCTTTTGGCTGTAATTTTCTGCATTTGAGGCAGTTAGTTCTGTTTGGTAGCAGGGACTAGAAAAGTTGTACATATAAACTGGGGCTTCGAAGCAGCAATGCACATAGATAATTTTGGTTTATGTTTAAAAAAAATAACAATTTATTTGTTCAATCTCATAAAATCAACATCACATGATTTAAAAAATCACAGTACATTGTGGTTTCACAATGGGGTCTATCCACAAAGCTGCCGTAGGCAGCCAAGTGAACAACCGACCCGAAGTGAAAGGAGCCGAACACTGTTCGGCTATTCACTTCAGGCTTGTACGGCTGATTTCCGTACATCGGGTGGCTTCGGGTCGGCCAAACATGCTGAGCATGTTCGGCCGACCCAAAGTGCAGAAGGAGTTCGACTCAGCCGATCCAACATCTGGATCGGCTGAGCCGAACCTCCGGCAGGCTACTCGATGCTGTTCGGCCTATTCTCATAGATGCCGAAAAGCAGTGAGTGAATAGCCGAATGCCACTGAGCGGCATTCGGCTCGGCTATTCTGCTCCGTATCTCTGTGGCACCGAGCAGAATAGAAAAACAGTTAAAAAGTAGAAAATAGAAAAATAGAAAACGATTGGGCGGAGCTAGCAGTGACAGCTAGCTCCACCCAACTGTTTTCTATTGGCCGGGACCAGCTTTCTTTAGAATTAGAGCTTGTCAGAGCCAGCGAGTATATGAAAGCAGACATATCACTGTCGGCTCTCCTTAGCTCTAGTCTTAATGACACATGGGCATCCTTGGTTACTTGGTAACCAGGGATGCCCATGTGTTATTACACACTGATATCTCGTCAGAGCGGCTGTGAATTTACAGCAGCTCCGCCGGTTCTCAGTGTACTGAGGAGCCGCAGTGTAATGACAGAAGGCGTCCCTGGTTACCTGCCAGGGACGCCTTCTGTCATTACACACAGAACCTGTCGAAGCTGCTGTGATTTTACAGCAGCTCAGACGGGTTCTCAGTGTAATGATAGATCAGTGTCTCTGGTTACCTGGTAACCAGGGAACCTGAACCAGTGAGATGACGGCTGGCTCCGCCCAGCTTTCTGAAGCCAGCTGTCGGCCTATCTACTTTTTCAGGAATGGAGGAATTCTATAATAGTGAATTTAAAAACACATGATATACTGTAAGTAGATACAGTATGTGGCTGATAGAGGTATTGTAAAACCACAATGTACTGTGAATGTTTTGAATCACATGATGTTGATTTTACACGATTGAATAAATAAATTGTTGTTTTTTGCTTAAACTAAAGTGTGGTGACGCCTCATAAGATCCAAATTATAAGTACACATTTTCTAATTTCAACAAGGGGTGCGGCGCCTTGGTCATGCACTAACCCAATCCACTTCATGTATAACTGGTAACAGGGACTAGAGAAGGTGGTCTTACCTCTGCTATGTCAGAGTTTTGTTGCACATACAACAAAGCCCTGCCTCCTCTACAAGTTGGTTAATAAAGAAATCAAAGTAGCATTTCCTTTATGAAGAAGTAGAATATCATGTGCAATCTTTCATGAACAGAGGTCATGGAGACTTAAATGCCCAGGCCAAATTTAGCAGTTCAAGTTAACTTGCCTACAACTCTGTGACTAATTTATCAGTTAGATAGTAGAGTCTGAGAACTAGGAACCTACACTGGTGGGCATTAGACATGTGCGATTCATTTTGTTCTGAATTGACAAATTCGTAGGCATCCGAATTTCCAAATGAAAAAAATAACAAATTTGAACGTATCCAAATCTTTTACGAATATCATTCTGAATGAACTGTTTCTGTTGGCTGTTAAAAGTTAAAACGAAAAATTAAATTTTTGTAAAAATTTTTTCATGTCCTGCAACAAACATTTGTTGGAAATTCTCTAACACATCCGAAATTAATTAAGATTTCGGATTCGGACGAATCCGGATAATGAAACTAATTTACTTTTGGACCCGGAATCCTGAAAACAAAATAAAGAAAAATCTGAAATGTAATGATTTTTTTGCCATCACACATGTCTAGTGCACATTTTTAGATCACTTCTGCAATGCTATTTAACATTCTTACAGCACAGCAAACCTGGTGAATTGTTTTATTTATGCATAGGAACTCATATTACTGAATATTTATACACGTTACCTTGGGGCATTGCCTACTAATATGTCTAACTGGGGATATATTCCATATACTGTAGTAACATATAGCACATCTCTAACATAATGAGCAATTCATATGAAGATATGCATTTTTATGTTTGGTGACTATATAATTTTCATTCAGGTGACAACATACAAACAGCAACTACGGTTGCCAAAAACTGTGCCATGATTCCTGAGGACAGTCAAGTGATTCTAGTAGAAGCGTGTAAACCTGAAGGCTGTTCTTTAGCATCTGTCACCTGGAAACTTCTGGAATACCCACAGACTGGACAAAATAAAGCCATTCAGGTCTTAAAATGTTTTGAATGAATAATCTGAATTTCCTCTTCAATTTTGGGTCCTATGATATTTACGTCTTCATTACATCTGTTCTGTTTATATACATTACAGCTAGATTAGTTCCTGTTTGGGTTATCCTGTTAGAAAAGTTAAAGCCAGGAATGGATGAGGACTAATTCAGAGTATGAGGGCTCAAGGAAGGCAGATTAGCTACCAAAATGACTCTGTCTAACTGCTTAACCACGCCCCAACCAGCTCACACATATATGCGGTGGCAAAATGGTGGGCTTTGAAGTTCGGCCACTGCATACTGTACGTGTCCACTGGTCTGTGCTGGAAGTGCACACTGACAGCACAGTGAATGAGCACAGTGACTGGTCATTATTGATGATCAGGGATGAGCTGTCAATCATATGATCACTGTGATTGGCTGTCACAGTGATCGCATGATTGGGAGCCCATCCCTGCCTCCTGTCATTAGAACTGATGGCAAGGGGTTAGCAACTGTTAAGATAAGATATAAGACACACAAGGTGTGAATTCCTTTCCATATGAAGAAGCAAAAACATAACTATTGTGTAGCAGTTCAAATGTAATGAACATACATGCTTGTAGAGGTTGTAAAGAGGAATACATTTTTTTTAAAGATTAATATACATCCATGTATATCTAAAAAAACAAAATAGTTGAGAAGGCAATCACTACTTGGTTGGTATCATTTTGTAAACCTAGGCTATAGCTGTGTGGTTAAAAATGCAAAATTTTTGATTAGGTTACATAATTTGAAAACGAAATAGGTGTGAACCAGCTGCATCACAATAGGAAACAATTGTCTTAATTATTTATTTTTTCTGGATCAATATAATATGAATTGTTCTTTAATAACAGGATATCAGTATCGATGTTGAAAATATACCGGATACCAAAAAACAGAGCAATGATTACCATTTTTCATTGAGTGGAAAAACCTATGAAAATCTAGAAACATATTTTCCAGATTTGTTACCAAAAGTAAGTTGAAGTTATGTTTCCACATGTGTTATGTATGTTTATGTGTCCACTACTGCAAAACATTTAATAATGCATACATGTGCTTACTACATAGCATAAAACCCATTTTTCGCTGGAAGCTAAAGCTTAAAAAGCCCAACTTTTCTTTTTCTTATTGCTAGATTTTGATGAATGGAACAGTTTTTGCAAGAATGTCTCCTGGGCAGAAATCAGCAATTATAGATGAATTTCGAAAACTTGAGTAAGTATCAGAATAAGACTTGTACAAAAAAATATATATATTTCATAATTTAACTTCACACCTAGCCAAATTCACAGCAACCTGACCGTAAAATACATACCACATGTGAATCAAAAATGAGTGTACTAGTTTCCTTTTTCTTAAAATATAAAAGTCTAATATTAATAAACCAATTATATTTTTCAGTTATTATGTGGGAATGTGTGGAGATGGAGCCAATGACTGTGCTGTAAGTCAACTAGAAGTTGTATAGAGTACTTTTCATGTTCTCATAATGATTGAATCATGGGTGGTTACAGACTTATTCAGGCAAAGCCTGCAGCCAGCCTTTAATACCCATCACTATTGCTCCTTTTATATACAGTATATGCCCCCTTGTTTTGGTGCCAGCTGTCGGGATCTATCACTCCATCATCATCTGATATACCTTCCTGTTCTGTTCCACCATTTATTAGATATTTTTTCCAGCTTTTTTACTACTGGCATCAACAGAAACTTTGACATAAAATTCTTTGAATTTCCAGCAATAATTACATAGTTACACAGTATTTGAGGTTGAATAAAGACATATGTCCATCAATAAATGGCCTAATTCCATGCTCAACCCTCAAAAAAAACACCTTAATTGTGTCTGCACCCGCTAAAGCAGGACCAAAATAATTAGCAGCGGCAGGAAAGACCTTGTCCTTCTTAACCATTCAGGTCCTCTTTGCATGCCTAACAACGTACAGAGGAACTGAACTCTAGACGTTTTGCCTTAAAAGGCAGACAGAGGGCAAAGGACTAGTAATCTCCATTGCCTGTGGTCTTCTTGCAGCTGATCTTTCCCCCAAAACTGTCTTCCGATGCCTTGTACTATTACTCTGTGTGGAGGCAGCCATTTTGGTAGAAGCAAGGCTTTGCTTCCTCATGTCAGAGCCTCCATTAAGGAGAACAGTAAGTGGTATCACCAAATATCACTCTAAATATCCTGAGACTAGCGGTTCAGATGCCAGGTGATTAGTAGCTACAGTAGGCCCTAAGCCTCCATCTATTACTTTTTTGTATGGGGAGGCTTTTATGAGTAAAATTATATTTTATTTAAATATTATTTGGAAACCTTAATTGAAAAGTAGCATGGCCATATAGCATAGTTCAATGAGCCATCACACTGCATCCTGACTTCCATTACTTTTTATCCTCCTGGCAAAATATGTCCTTGCATTGTGCATCTCATCAAAAACATATAATGTAACATTTTGCTTTTATGCAGAAAAACATTTTCAGGTTACTACCCAGGTTAGTACCCAGGTTACTACCCTTAAAGAAACAAATTAGAGAGTGGTGTCTTATAGATATCAGCATTCTGTTAACAAGTCTGGATGTATGCATCTGTTACTTATATATTCTAAGACAAAGGCAGCCTATGTTTACAATGCACCAAAAATTAATATTTTATTATGACATGTTCTCACAGGCTCTGAAGATGGCCAATGCTGGGATTTCTCTGTCAGTACAAGAAGCATCTGTGGCTGCACCTTTTAACTCACATGTCACAAATATCAAGTGTGTCTCTGAACTGTTGAAGTAAGTATGTGTTCTGCAAACCAGACATAGGGGGTTATTCACAAAGCTGCCAAAGGCAGCCGAGTGAATAACCCAGCCAAAGTGAAGTGAGCCGAACAACGTTTGGCTATTCACTCCGGCTGATTTTAGCCAAACATTGGTTGAAATCAGCCATACATCGGCTGCCTTCGGCATGCTCCCAACAGGCATGACATCTGAATCGGCTGAGCAAAAGTTCCGGCAGCTCACTCCCTGCCGTTCACCCCTTTTCTCATAAGGGCCAAACGGCAATGAGTGAATAGCCAAATGCCACCGAGCAGGATTCGGCTCGGCTATTCTGGTCGGTATCTCCGTAGTGAAATCTAGCTCCACCCAACTGTTTCCTATTGGCCGGGAGCTGCTAGAGTCTTCTAGCAGGTCCCGGCCAATGAATAACAACTGGGTGGAGCCAGTCATGATGTCATGGCTGGCTCCACCCAGTTGTTATTTTTTAATGACAGATCAGCGTCCCCAGGTCATTTGGGAATGCTGATCTGTCATTACAACTGGGCGGAGCCAGCCGATCTTGGCTGGCTCCGCCCAGCTGTCATTTGCGGGGATTAATGCCGGCCTGCGGCAGGCCGTTCGCCCCTTTTTGGGTGTCACTTCGGCTCAGTGACACCTGCAGGCCCTATCCCCTAGAGGCCCTAGACCTCAGCAATTTGCCCTTATAGCTTGCTTTTAGTGTTCTGCTACATGCAGTTTGACAAAAACAAAAACAAAAAAATTCCATATAATAAGATATTATCACCTTTTTGTTTCATCAGTTACCTTTTCCAGAACCCACATCTGATGTTATTGCAAGGTTACACAACACTATTTTATACTAGGCTTCTTTCCAGTCAAATAACAGCATGAACATTCTTCACTGAGATGAGAATGACATCACCTTAGTGTGGAAGTTAAAGTTTATGCCCAGCTGAAACTGTTTTAAGTTTTGGATACAGTGGGTAAGGGTTAGAGCCCTCACTCATTTTTTGCTGCTCTCTGTCCCTGCTAGGAAGATTTCTCTTTACTCTCTAACCCAGTGACAACATATCACCAGGGCAGGAAGTGAGGAGAGATCCCCAAAAGGGGCAAAAACAGCTGTAAAAAACATATTTTTAGCAGAGAAGGGGAATGGTTAGAACTTCCACCAGCTTTAATCATATTATTACTAGGAGACAACAAGAGAAGTGGAATCTCCCTAATGAAGCTACAGACAGTGATAAAAGCTTGAGAAATCCAAAAAAAGGTTTTGGTTGGAAATGCACTTTAAAGTCTAAATCTCCCAAAGACATAGTAGATGTTGGAGATTTAAACCATCTGACAATTTCTTTTAGCGACTTGGTTGTTGAAATATCTATCTATGAGGAGCTTATGCGCACCCTGTTTCTCAAATAAGATCGTCTTGTTGGTAGCATCTGATCAGACTGCCACCATGAAAATTCCTTTGTCTAACTCTATTCTGAATTTGGTTTTAGCAATCTTTAGTGAGCTACTTGCTATATGTTTAGAAGCACCTTCATTTGTAATATTTGATGATTGCACTGATGACCGTTTTTTTTTTTATAGGGAAGGACGAGCTGCACTTGTCACATCTTTCTGCATGTTTAAATACATGTCTATGTTTGGATTAATTGAATATATCAACACACTGCTGCTTTACTGGGTAAGAGAGTCATTTTTGCTATCAATGAAACATAGAGGAAAAATTGTCACTCTGTAACTAGTGAGCGCATAAGAGATTGTACCATTGCTAACATTTCTTGATCTGTATTTTTTAGCAACGAAATATCTTTGGAAACAATCAGTTTCTGGTCCATGACTTTGCTATTATGTTTATCATTTTCCTTACAAGTGAGTACAATTGGCATAATTAATAACATATCATCATATTTTAAATATGTACTATATATGTACTATGTACTACAGAAGAGAACAGATAGAACATGGTTGTTGATGGAAATAACTTTATTGGCAACACTTTTCTAGTCATGTTTAAGGAAAAATACCAGTGCTAAAAAGTCAAATGATACTTACCTGTGTCTGCCTTTTGTTTTTGGGGAACACATGTTTTATGCAGCTTTGTTCAAGAAAAAAAATCTATTTTAGACAATGGCCTGCTTTTGTGATTTTCAGAGACTAAGTAGCCAGAGAGACTAACTAGCCACTGCACTAAATAAGATTCCACGCGCCCTCATCCAAAAGCACGGCATAAAGGCCAACTCTGGGCTCAGCCCCCCTGCCCCTATAGTCACCCTGCTATGATAAATAAACTCCCAGCCTCATGCAGTACAGAGATTTTTCAGCTCATGGGACAAGAAATATAGGCACCAATAGACTGGGAATGATGATCACTGGGGTCAGGTAACTCTGCAGTTAGGCATTTACACAGACAAACAGTAGTCACTATGTGTTTTAACAGAAACATGGATTGTTTATAACATCTGCTGTAGCAATTTTGAACTTTAAGACATGTCTGTGACACTCATGCCCAGGTAGGAATCTACAGAGTTTAAAATATGTTACAGGAAAAGATTCATAAATGTCTTACCTAGAACACCCAGAAATTCAGTGTAACAATTTTTAAATATCAGTTTAATTAAATAAAAGTATAAAAACTGTGCAAAAAATATTTAGAGAAAAAGAATATTACAAAATAGACAAAAACAACAGTAAAATAAACAGGATTAAAAATGAAAGATAGTTAACAAAGTTTGGCTGATGTTTGTTTCCTGTGCAGAGTCCAAATCACTTCTGAATATGCCCAATCTGACAATCAGATGAGCACTCAATCATAAATGGCTCTTTCGGTATCTTTAGTAGTATAAATGTCAAATGAGAGCTACCAAGCTGCAGATGCAGCCATCTTTTCCGGTCCTTGAAGAGGGTGTTTACCACAATGACATAACCAATGAAAAAACATATTCTTGCACAGAATAAAATCATGATTTGATAGACATTAAACAAGATATAGATTTTATGTATATTCTCCCTAGGAGAGTCAATGAGATCAATTTGCCTGCTGCACATTATAACATAGGCATGTTTGGTACCTACTTAATTGTAATTCCCTGATACATTAGTGTAGCCATGTTTTATCAGGATATATCCATTAAAATACCAATTATGAAATAGGAATATCTCTTGCTCCTGGTAGTTTAAAAAAAAAAACAGACCAGGATGTGTTATTGCTATAAACCAGGGGCACCCACAATTTTTCGTCTGGAGATGTACTTCGGGGAAATATTATTATTATCAGGGAGCTGGGGGGGGGGAGGCGGAGGACGGAGCCGCTCTCACAGAACTAAGGCCAAGCGGTGAGGAGAGAGAGGCGCCGGCTGTCAGATCCTGGCCGAGCATCTATCTCCTCACTGCTCGGCCTTAGTTCTGTGACAGCGGCTCCATCCTCCGCCCCCCCCCCGCGCGCCACCGGCTGCAGGGGTTCCTTCACTTCTTCTTGGATCCCCGCTGCATACAGATGGGGAGACCAGCGGGAATCCAGAGAAGCCCCACGGCGGGAGGAGAGGACATTGCGATCTACCAGTGATCGCTATGTGATCGACTGGTAGATCGCAATCAACCTTATAGGCACCCCTGCTATAAACCATCCCTAGATAGTTTTACAGCTGGATAAAATAGCTGTTAGTAGGCTCTGGCTTAATGGAGGTTTATGAACAGGATACATTACAATCCAGAGACAGCCAGGAACAAACATTTTTAAAAAGAGGTTAGCATGGGCATCTTACATATTTTTTACTTTAAAGTTATTTTTGCGTTTGAAACATGCCCTAAGCTGCAGGAGATGATTTGTAATCCAAATGCACATAACCCGATATTATAAAAGTTTCATTGTAGCTCTTCTACAAAAGAATATAGTAAATGTATACATGTACTCTCAAATCAGTTATCCAATATGAATTTTTTTAATGGGTGATATGGCTTCGAAATAAATACCACTTATTTTTTAAATTCATCTAAATTAAAGATTTTATTATTCTTATGTTATAGATGAAGGTGTGTTTCCATAGAACAGAATGTTCCTAGACAGATGTTGGGGAATTCTGAACATGGCTTCAGACAGGCTACAGGTCTGGTGGCTATGGTCTTGTTCAACCTTGTATAGAGTTAAGTGACACTAAACGCAGGAGTTAAATCTTAAAAAGCTATTAAAGTACCTTAACTATTAACAAAAAGGTATCTTATTTGTGTATCACTTGGCTGTAGATCCTCAAATCATCTCGAAATTGGTGCTGGCACGGCCCTTACTTTTGGAGGGTGGCTACTTTTGTTCCCTATGGCACCTGTGTGTGTTGTAGAGTAGCCACCACTCCAGGTTTGTGTCTGTGATGGACTACAATCTCAATACAAATTAGTAAACTAAATGTGAGATTGTAGTCCATCATCAGGGCCGAGTGATATAAAAAATAAGCTACATTTTTGTTAATAGGTAAGGTACTTGAATGCATTTTTAAGATTTATAGAAGAACTCAAGGAAAAAAAATTCAGCCTACTGTAACTAGCTTTTGGAAGTATTAAAAATATGCGCTTACCTTTCTGCATAGAAGTATGGTCTTCCAAAAATCTATGGTACAAGTCTGTGCTTCCTGCCCTCTGTCTACTTCATTTCCTTTCTTTTAGACCACTAGGCACTGTGCAGTCTATCAGCCCAGCCTGTGGTCTAATAACCTCCCCCTTGTAGTTCTATTGCAGGCAGCAGGAAGAGATGACATCCCAGCATGCACTGCAGTTGGTGGAGTAGGGAAGCTTTAGACTGAAGGACTGACCCCACCCACTGTCAGTGCAGAGCTCTCTGCTGTCACACCTCCTTCCCTTGACGGTGCTGGAACTCTGTGTAAAGTCACACTGCTCTTCCACTCTGGTGTTAGGAGCAGGTAGGATGACTTCAAAGCAGAGGAATTGTCATGCAATGTATCTATTCCCTGTGTCTGCAGTCAGCACAAAAAAAACTCTGTAGCTCTTCCCATCTCCACCCTCAGCTCTTCCTACCCTCCTCACACTTCCTCAATAACTCATGGGAGATGTAGTCTGCTACTTGGCTACCTAGATTCCCCCCCCCCCCCCGCGCCGGCGAGCAATAGATTTACTA